TGTAACGATTGGGCTGTTCAAGCCTTAGAAAAGATTCCATCACCATTAATCTTTAATAAACTGCCTAATATGAATACAATGATTGTGTTAGTTATGTTCTGGTCACCTGGATGGACAAGACGATCCAGCAATGGACAAGGTGCTGGCAGTGCCTGCTGATAAGGAGGAGAAGCCACTCTGACATGACTGTAAACTGGACATTGAGCCTCTGTGAAAATGTACAAAAGGTTTGTAAAAGGTTGTAAAAATAACTTTTGTCACTGTAACTAATGAGGACACAAACAATATATTGCACAATTTATAGACTAGTATATTGTGTAGTAGCTTGTCTGGTTTATTACTACAGAATACTAATAAATATGCCAAGTAATAAACTGTGTTATATACTTCTTGTGTCCATCTGATGTAAATTCACAAAAGGAAAATATGGTTTAAAGCATCCCGGTGGGATTGGAAAGAACAGTAGCAAAGGCATGGTGCCAGGAAAGAGGGACAGGAGCCGACCAGCATTAAGACTGGCCCAGGATTTAAGAGACCCTTGGCTAGGAAAGTGCACAAGGCGGGAAATCTGTTGAGACTGAGCTCCTTTCAGGCAAGCTGTGATGAGAACGACATTCTGCCAAGGACCTGCTACACAACAATTAAAACATTACTTTGAATATCTTCATTTTGTCATCGCTTTCACACCACAGGGCAGAGCTTTCCAAACTGTGTGTCGCAATACATTAGTAAGTCTTGTTCTTGAACTTGAGTTTTGCAAGGACATCTGTTTTACAGATCTAGCTTATCTCTATGCAGACTGTTGGTTTCCTGCCTCTCAGGCTGATGAACTCTTGACTTCAAAAGAAACACCCTTAATTATTTGACATTTACGACATGCCAGTTAGGGGGCAGTGGGTTTGTTCTTTTCTCCCCCACAATGGGTCTTCAGAACCCATATGGGGGTGAACTGTAGTTATGACTTTGCATACAAAAATTCAAATCTGTAACTACACTAAGATGGCTGGGAGCTGTGGTGGCCAAGTGGCTAGGCGCTCGTCTACCAGCCCGAAAGTCTTGACATCTAATCTGCTGATTTTCTAACAGGATGAAGCAGCAGGAAATGAGTACCATGTAATGTCCTGGGAAGTAAAGGCAGCCGGCATGATGTTCACAATATCACCCACTAAACATCTATTTAGTCTATCTTCCCCCCCCCCTTTCCAACCCACCCCTACCCCACAAAATGGGAATCTCAACCCCACACAAGAAGTAAAATACAGAGGCAAATGAAATTTTGTAATGGGAACCTACTTGAATGTGGCTGAAGGCAACAGTTCTGTGTGATACATGACCTTCGACTTGTGAGAAGTCAATGGGAAGTCAAAAGAAGGTTTTGTTAAATCAAAATACTTCCACTGAAGAATGTAACTTCCTGGCTGTGATGTCACATGTGAGCCCTGCAGAAAATTTGCAGAAACAATCACTATAATTACACAATTCATTTGTAATTTGCACAAAGTTATAGACCAATCTGCTTTACTAATATGAAGACGTAAAAAAACAACACAATTTCTAATCCTACAACAGAGCAGTCTTAAAGCATTTGTCTCTTAAACTAATGGCTTCCAGTCTTTAGTCCATTTCCGTTAAGGAAATCGCCGCTTTCTGCAAGTTACGATATTTATATTCAAAATCAATTATTTTTATCAGAAATTTCCTAAGAGAAGTGATTACCACTCTTTTTGCCTGTAAACTCTAGTGGAAAGTTTTGTTTGTTCGTCCACTTCCGAACTTTAGTCTTTTTCATAATCTGAGTTTTTTACTTACCTGGCTCATCTGTATGCAGATTATTGTTTCCTCAATCTCCGGCAGATGCACTTCAACTCTGTAGGACACATCCCTAATTAGTCGACTCTTAACGACATGCTTGTCAGGGGATAGTGGGTTATTCTCAGAACTTTGCCCGTGTGGGTAGGAAATCCAGAATATTGAATATCTACTTCTCCTTCAACACGCTTCGTAATGCCGGGTTCGGTCCCAGTTGCGGACGATCTGTCTTGCGCTGGTTTCGAAAGCCGTACCAAGAGCTGACCATTCAGAAAGCAATGACAAATTGCTGAACGTAATATTGGCCTTAAAAAAAACCACAACAGCCAATAAATGCTGGGGTCGGTTCTGCCATGTTCTGTAAAAAATATGCAACTAACTTAACTTCACGTTCGCGGTCACCCTTTGAAAACTCAAGAATACTGAATATCTACTTCTCCTTCATGCCCGGCTCTCTAGCGTAGTTGGCTAAACCGGATTGCGCGGTGACCAGGTGACGAACTCCATGTGGTCCGGGTTCACTACCGGGGGTAGGCAGAAAAGCCACATTTCTCCCAGATTTACGGTATTTACAATGGAATCAAGACCGAAAGGTTGCGATATCCATAATACCGAGCCTAAGGGTTAACAACTCATGGCTTCTGGATACTAAAACAAAACAAACTTCTCCTTCGTGGTCGCCATCTGTAAACATCAAAATATTGAATATCTTCTTCTCTGTCGTAGTCACCGTCTGTAAACTCCAGCAGGAAGTTCAGATTCTTCGTCTGAATCAGACTTTAAACTTGTTCTAGAACCTGAGTACCATGTGCACATCCGCTCTACAGATCTTACTTATTTGTATGCACACTGCTGGCCCCTTGCCTCTCAGACAGATGCAATGAGTCAATCCACACAGCATGGTTTCTGAGGAGGCCGTGGGTCTGTTCTTGTTTTTTCAACAATGTGGCCCCCCAAACCTACATAGGGAGAATACTCAACTTGTTGCAGTCATGCTTTTTACATGTAGTAGAAGTAGAGAGATCCCAAGTCTCACCAGGTTGCATTCCGGTGGAAACCAAGCTGTGTGGAAAAGTGGAGAACATGTGTCCCATCGCAGCCTTCATAGAGACCTGTGACCTTCTCATCTGAAAAACACTAGCAGGGAGAAAGAGACGAGGAAGAAGAAAACTTAACTTACTTGTAGGCTATCTCCATTCGGGCTATCTCAATTCGGCAGAAACCAAACTTTATGGAATAGTGGAGTACATACCTCGCACAATTGCCTTCATAGAGGCCTGTAGCTTTCTTATCTAAAAGCGACTAGCAGGGAGAAAGAAAAGAACAACAACAACAATGAACTTACTTGTACGCTATCTCCATCACGGCATATATTCGGGGGCTCCACTATGCTGATATCTCGTCCAACAACCAAACCCTTATCTATATACTGCTCCGATGCAAATGCACTTGAGGTGCCACCAACATGATGCTGGTGCATAGGCTGCGGTGGCATGGCCTTTCGACAGTAGAACACCGTAAACGTTACATCCCCTTTTAGGATGTCGAAGTCCCAGGTCACCACACTGCCTTTCTCTGGCACCTCAATCAAAACCTGTAAAAACAATGACTCTCTGATAACTATCCAGCATTAGCTAAAAATCAACTCATAAGAATTATGTATCATAATAATGTATAATCCTGATGCTGTATCCATGTCTGGACTGGTAGCTATAGTGGTGCAACAGTCAAATATGGACGCTGTCTTCCGAAGACAGAAAGGACAATAGTCACGACAGAAATGAAATGTTTGCATACTATGCTAGGTGTAACGAGGAAAGATAGACTTAAGAACCATGATATCATGAGGAGAGTCGGCACAGAACCTATGCTGAACTTTAAAGGTAGACAACAAATCAAATGGTTTGGCCAGGTAACAAGATTGGCATCAGACAGGACAGCACATAGAGCAATGGTATTCAGATATAGCGGTAACAGGGCTAGAGATCGACTATGCAGAAGATGGACCGCAGAAATATGAGACACTGAAAGGTACTTTATACTGAGCAAACAGAAGGGCCCATTCCAGAGATTTCTCTCTTATCATCTCTCAACTCCTTCAGTAGAAAGCATCCATATGAGTATTGCTTACTTCTGCATGATGTCACTGGCAAAAGCAGTCCCAAAGCAGATACAGTAAAAACTAGTTAACATGAACTTTGTTAGGAAAAATGCTCAGTTAACATGAACACAATTTAACAACTTGTCACAGAAACACTTAAAGTGATCATTTTGTCTGTAATCAAAATGTTCCTGCTGTTACAAATAAAAGTAAATAAAGTAACGATCCCTTTTCACGCCTTTCGGCGCATCGGGCATATGGGCAGAGTGTCCCATATTTTTACAGACCATCAGCACTCTGTGGGTAATGTGGTCAGCATTACGCCGGCTGTCTTTACTTTCCCAGGACAGCCCATCCTGGTACCCATTTTTAGGCTGGGTCGACCCTGAAGTCAATGTGACAAGTGATAGTGTATTAGCATGTCTTCCACATGTGTGTTCCTGACCTCATTTTTGTGGAAGTGTGGTAGGAAAGGGGGGTGTGGGGGGACAGACTCACTGAACGAACGAATGAACGAATGACCAAAATTTATTTTTAAAGGGTCCTCTAACAAGCATGTCAGGAGGAGATGAAGAAGAACCAGCATGCCAAGTAGCTATCACAGAAACTGAGAATTTAATCCCTCAAAAACTGTCTCCCCTGGTATTAGTTTTACAAATTAGAAACTCTCACAACTCTTAGTTTTAAGTGTTTGACATATGTGAGTATGTGTTGCATATGTTGTCGTATCAGCATCTCAAGGACCTCTATGACCCCAGTGTAATTCTTCTTCTTCTTCTTCAGCATTCTGGGGCCGCGATGTTCATTGCTGCAGATATCACCCGCCTCCATTCATCTCTCTGGTTGGCCTTCTTTTACGTTGGTGACACCAAATGTTTGTAAAGCTCTCTGGATATTATTTCCATGTCATCTTCTTGGTTTGCCTCATAGTCTATGACCATTCCACTCCCCAGTGTAATAGACTTTTGAATAAATGAATGAATTATTAAATGAAAATATGAGTGAATTAATTAATTAATTAATTAATAATGAAAGACGTGCAAAAGGGCTACAAATGAATGTTTGAATAACATTAAGGGCTGCCACGCACCTCATGTGGAAACTCCTTGACAACAGAGGCAGTATGATACAGACTGTCGGTGCTGAGGGGATGTTCCTCGGGGGATCTGTCAACAAGCTCTTCCTGATACAGTGACTTTGGAACTAGTCCCCCTTCAGGTACATCACACTGGGGGGAAAAACAGCCAGAATGACTCAGTGAGAACTTCTGACATCAACATGCATTAAATCACAACACAGTATAACTAAAGCTTCAACAGATCAATGTGCTCACATGAGTTCCCATATTCTACTGGACCCATAGGTGAAGTAATGGATGGTTTTATGTATCACTTTATATTGTAGAAAAACTTCAGATTGAGGAAGCAAACAGCTCTGTAACTGAGAAAACTCTAGGACTGACTGACTGTGAGCTCTAGGATTTCTGACTCAAATAGTTCTAAGACTGACTCAGTCAGCTCTAGACTTGACTCTGTCAGTTCTATGACTGACTTCATCAGCTCTAGGATGGCTGACTCTCACAGCTGTAGGACTGACTCAGTCAACTCTAGAATTGACCCTGTCAGCTCTAGGATTGCAGACTCGGTCAGCTCTAGGATTGACTTCATGCTCTAGGATGGCTGAGTCAAACAGCTCTAGAACTGACTCAGTCTGTTCTAGAATTGCTGATTCAAACAGCTCTAGGATTGGCTCAAACAACATTAGCACTGACTCAGTTCTAGGAACTAATCAGATCTAGGATTGTCAACTCAAACAGCTCTAGGACTGGCTCAAACAACATTAGAACTGACTCAGTTCTAGGAACTTAATCAGATCTAGGATTGTTGACTCAAACAGCTCTAGAACTGACTCAGTCTGTTCTAGAACTGCTGACTCAAACAGCTCTAGGAGTGACTCAGTCTGTTCTAGAACTGCTGACTCAAACAGCTCTAGGACTGACTCAGTCTGTTCTAGAACTGCTAACTCAAACAGCTCTAGGATTGGCTCAAATAACATTAGCACCGTCTCAGTTCTAGGAACTAAATCTAGGATTGTTGACTCAAACAGCTCTAGGATTGGCTCAAACAACATTAGCACCGACTCAGTTCTAGGAACTAAATCACATCTAGGATTGTTGACTCAAACAGCTCTAAGATGGACTTAAGCTCATTACGTTGCTACAACATCTTCTTCATCTTCTTTTTCTTCTGCATTCTCAGCTCTTCAGGTTCACTGTGCAAATTTCACCCACCTCCATTCATTTCTCTGACTGGTCTCCTCTTTCCAGTTGGGTTACATGATACTTTTGTCACAATTATCAGGCAAGAAAGGCAGCAGGAAAGGTTGCCATCCACGGAACCAAACGAATTTCTTTGAAAAAAAATTCAGATCTGTAAAATGGATGTGCTTGCAAAACTCAAGTTCTGGATCAAAGTCCAGGAGTGGACAAACAACCAAAACTTACCACAAGTTTATAGCTGCTGAATGTGAAGAAGAAATATTGGTGTCTACCTTATATTAGCTTACCTTCAACCTGCTCCTCTGGTATGTGATAATGACAGACATGGCTGACAATCAATAAACAAAATAGACAAACAAAACCACATTACTTACAAAACAATCTCCCCCGAGAAAGTCTGGTATGTACTGTTGGTCCATGAAATCCACAAGCCCACCAGCACTCAGGTAGTCTTTGCCACCATAGATCATGAACTTGTTTCGTGTGTTCTCATCAATGAATGGACTCACTAGTGTCCACAGGATAGGAAAGACACGGGGAGCTCGAACAATGAGTAGGCGGCCCATTGTTTCTGGATAGTTAACCTCCACGGTCTCTATAATCCTGAGGAGGGCCCGTATGCCTGGTCGCCACAAGTGTCGCATGCTTAAGCCTTCAAGGTCTACTATACACGTGCAGGCACTGAAGGGGATAAAAGTCCATGTTTATAAAAAATATTTCTAGCAAAGGGCGAATTAGCTGTGCGTGGGAACGAGTGTGAGTAAATGTATGTTTATCATGATCAATCAGCAGGCTTTTCTCTGGTAAATTTATCCAATAAAATGTGCTTTCATAGCCAATACATCTTTAATATCCTGTGTCCACTTTCATGGAGGTGAGCCTCATTTTCTGGAATCTGCGCCCTTCATTGCTGTTCTCTTCACCTCAGTTTTCGGGAGAGTATGCTGTTTAGGAGCGAATTCTCCTTGATGTTCGGATCATGTAGGATGTCTGTGTTTTTCTTCTTCTTGGTCAGCTGTATTCTTAGAATACCATGGGTATTCTAAGAATGTTTTGTGTAGCATTTCATTCAAAAGCTCTGATTTTTTCTTCAAAGACCGAGTAAGAGACTATGACACATTCATAAGTTGCCATGGGAAAGATGCGTGATCATAACATTTCGACTGTAACTCACTTGCAGGTACTCTGCCATAGGTTCTTATAGCTGTTTGAGGTTTGAACAATGAATCAACATCATGGCACACAGGCAGTAACCCATAAGTGATCCGTTCTTTCCTCTAACTCAAGTCTGAGTATGAAGAAGCTCAGCACAGGGCACAGGTTCTGTAGCACTGGCGAGGATCCTGAAATACTTTTGGTAGATTTTAAACTCCAAATTTTTGCCGAGGCAGCGCCGTTAGGCTACTCTTTTTTATTTCCACCTGCTAAGGGATTTTTTACATGCGCAACAATGCACATGGGCGTCCGATCTTACTACCCAGAGACTACGTAAAAATACTAGACATCCACATAAAAAAATCCCAGCCTTTACCAGGGCTTGAACCCAGGCTTGAGTCCGAATTAGAATGGAGCACATATGAGTTATTACCCTTGTGCCATGATGTTGATCCGTTCGCCTAACCATAAACCTATTTAAAATATTACATTAAAATTGTGTCAGCATTCATTATGCTTATAATAAATAGTCGGTTTATTTTCTGTTAAGAACAATAATATATCACAAGTCTCCCAAAAATGATATTTTGAAAGAGTTGTTAATCATGGACAACCAGGATTTTATCTATCTATGCTAGCTTTCTCTTGCTGATTCTAGCTTTTATATATTTTAACATAAAATTTAAAAGAATCATATAACCATTCCATTGGTGTTTAATTTAGTGACAAAGCCACATAAAACAAAACAGTCTAATGTGAAGATTATAATACCAAATCAAGCCTCTGAAGAAAATGTCTTACCTTACTGGATATCCACGTTTCTGTGTTGCTTCTTCTGCTCTTTTTAGCCCCTCTTCATTCACTGCAAGAACCTGTAAGTAAAGATGATCAAATCAAATGCAATATCTTCTTCACCATCGTTTGTTGGGTGATAAAGTTTGCGTTGTGCCTCTTTATAGCATAGCTGTTGTATTTGTGCCTTTCAGCAGACACATCTGACATCAGCGACCGGGTCGCCCATGGGCTGGCCAGCAGACAACGGCTTCATCGCTGGTTGGGACAGTATTTGGGTCTGTCTCCTCTGATCCCATCAACTCGGCAAGAGTCCTTTTTCAGGGCTACTTGGTGGCGTGCACTACTAGTAGCCATTTTATATGGCGCACATAACCTAATCACAATTATAACCAAAAGCTTCCCCATTGGGGTGGGGGGGAATGCTGGTTGATCATGATGATTTTTTTTTCCAAAGCAAGTCAAGTCACGTCAGACTTCGTAGGGTTAGCCTTCCCAGTTAGTTTTTTGGGACATGACGTGTATATGTATATATACACACACACACACATACCTATATACACCTCTGTTTGTTGAGCTCCCCACTCATCACAGGCTGCGCCCTTTAGAGATTAACAGGAAGCAGCCCGTAGACCCAAGACTTCAACAACCACACAGATGGCCAAAATCTTCTTTAGCACGTTGGACACCTTTAACATAGTTTTACCAAGATACTTAGCCGTATGCTTCAGGAATAGCTGTCCCTTATAATCGTGGAACTCCGACAAGTGAGGCTAATGGCAGGGGACATTTGAACCTTTCTGTCACACAGTAGGACAAATGACGATCAGACATCCGAACCTTGTCTGTCACACTGTAGGACATTTGACAGTCAGACTTCTGAAGCAAATCTGTCACACAATAGGAAATTCGATGTTCAGACATCTGAAACTTTGTTGTTATGCTGCAGGACACTTACAGCAATTCAGTATTAATTTCTGTCAACAGATGTTTCAACCAAGGTTTGACAAACAGTTGAGTATTCACCAGAGGGCCACACTTATGTCCAAAATGAGTTTTCAATGGACATTCTCACCCATGCACTGAGGGTGGACTGATGAGAACCAGAGAATTTCTGGACACTGCATCTCTGGGAGCCACCAACTCTCATCCCCTGGCAGCTCAGTTTGGCCCAATATAAACCCTTACCCGTGGTGCATGAGGAGCTCTGGTGACAGGAGTCTTGTATCAGGCCCCATAAAACCAGCACAGTGCCTGCTGGCACCTGAGGTAAGGTATAGAGCATCTCCTTATACATATCACAACAGCCTTAACTTTCCCTCATGCCTGTGACTGAAATCACACAGCACCACAAATGACATATAGATTTGGTTACTTTAAGTATAAAAAGTTAATGGTTAATGAGGAGTCAAATTGAAACAATTATATGAGCTTGATATGAGACAATGATTCTTCAACACTTTTATCATTTTTTGATAATGCTGAGACCAACCTCAGGAATTTCAAAAGATTTAGGCACTGGACACATTATTACAGACTCCAATTTGCCATAACTGGAAGTTGATCAGTGAGCCAAGCATGGTAGTAGTTCTTTTTTTTTTTTACTTGTTCTTTTACCGCTTTGGGTGTCGAGGAAGATAAAAGGTTCTGCTTTTTTGCTCCTCTGGCCGCCTGACCATAGACACATCTTGTTCTTGGTCTACCTCCTCTTTTGGTGTACGCCTTGTATGGCATGGCATGACAAGGATTCTAAGTGGGCAAATCATTTGATCTGCTGTCTTTGTATGTAATTTTAAATTGGTTCTGTGCTGACTTTTTCTCTTATGACCTCATTCCTGATTTTATCTCTTTTGGTTACTCCTGCAGCTCTTCTCAGACATCTTATTTGCATGGTAATTAATTTTCTTGTCTAGTCTGCTGTCAGTGACCGTGTCTGGCATAGGGTTGGAATGAGTGTGCTTTGTATGAGAGGTTTCTTTGTGCTGATTGTAATTGTCTTGTGTTGTAAGCATGGTACACAACCAATTAATACATTTTTTTTGTATTCCTACAAACCAACAAATTAGACCTCAACCCAGTGAGTAAATACATACACAGGGAACTACTTACATGTCTCAATATGGCCTCTTCTCCTACTGATCTCATCAGACCTTTAACATCCATCTGACCTAACTTGATTATATATAGTGGACGACCTTCTGGTAACAGAACAGACATTCATTATGTTAGTAATTCTTGTCAATGGAAATATAATAGCTTGTTTGCCAGTAGAAACTTTATAGTCATATTTGCCAGAAGACATAAGTTAGTCATGTTTACCAGTAAAAATGTGTCTGAGACCTCATGTCTGCCATAAAGGCATATGGCACGTGTTGAAGGCCCATGATAGGTAAACTATCCTAAACACACTAAACCCAATCACTTAGAGAACACATCAATCTTTAATGTACAGGACAAAATAACACACAGTAGTTCGCCTTAGAAGTAGTGGGCACCCCTATCCGAAACAAAAGCTGTGGGGTCTTTACTAATCACCTCTCACTCCTATCACGTTCCCCTGAATAGTACCCGGGTACGAACCAACGCAGCTTATGAAAACCTCTTTCCACTGCAACTGAACTCCACATCGGGACCGCAGAGCATCTGCTGAGTGCAGAGCAAGTGAGTAAAGACAGATCAAATCACAACAACCAATACAAATCCATCTTAGCTACCAGACTAACAATAATACTTAACCAGCTACACACGGTACAAGCTACACACACACAAACTATCCCCAGCGAGTGCTGTATAACACACAAAAGTACTGCTACTATCTAACGAAACACGTCATTAACACAGACTATCAGTCACTATGGTCTAAACACAACACATTGCAATCTAACTGTCAAACTATCAACAAGTCCCTACAGTCTCATATCCTGGAAACAAACTCTCTGTTGATCTTTTGCTGCCCGCTGGTTTTGTAAGCAGTTCAGTTCCCTGTTCTTGAGGGACTTAAGTGAACCACTCAAACAGTCACGACTTCCTATTATCGGTCGTTCATCTTGGTGAACTCTGGGTTATGCCTCGGTCATGTAAGTGTAGACATGAAACATTCACTACTATCATACTGGCTGTCCCATGTCCACACCAGCCTTTAATAAAATGTGACAGTTACCCTTACCAGTAGTAATATAATATTCGTACTGATGAACAGAAATGAGTTAGCAGTCATGCTTCTCAACAGAAATATGTTAGCAATGTTTACCAATAGAAGTGACTGATTACTAACACATGCACTAAAAAGAAGTATGTTAGCTGTATTATATCAGGTCTACCAACATAAATATGTTAGTCATTTTACTACAGAAATTTGTTAGTCATGTTAACCAACAGAAAAACAGAAATATGTTAGTCTGTTAACCAACAGAAACAAGTTAGTCATTTTACTACAGAAATATGTTAGTCGTGTTTGCCAACAGAAAAACAGAAATGTGTTAGTCGTGTTTGCCAACAGAAAAACAGAAATATGTTAGTCATGTTAACCAACAGAAACAATTTAGTCATTTTACTACAGAAATATGTTGGCCATGTTTGCCAACAGAAAAACAGAAATATTTTAGTCATGTTAACCAACAGAAACAAGATAGCCATTTTACCCTTGAAACAAGTTAGTCATTCTACCACAGATATATTTTAGTCACATTAACCAACAGAAACAAGTTAGTCACGTTAACCAACAGAAACAAGTTACTCATTCTACCACAGATATATTTAAGTCACCTTAACCAACAGAAACAAGTTAGTCATGTTAACCAACAGAAACAAGTTACTCATTCTACCATATAAACATGTTTTTCATATTAACCAACAGAAACAATTTAGTCATTTTACCACAGAAAATATGTTAGTCATGTTAACCAACAGAAACAACTCACCTTTGTCACAGTAATGCCAACCACCAGGGTAGTATTTCTCTAGAACATCAGGTGGTTTGTAACCATCTAATATGCGATCAATGTTGTGAAGTTTGCGCCAGGCTAGTGAATGAACCAGCATTTCACGAGCCTTCTCAACGTTAAATTCACGAGCACGTAAGAATCTTAAGATGTGAGCATCCTTGGGTATCTTAGGAAATATTTAAGCAATAAATAACTTTTGAAATCAAACAAAACCATCTAATCTTGATTTACAAAATCAGATTTACTAATTCTGAAACATCTACTGTTAATTACACATATATATTGGTCACAAAGATATGGAACAAAAGTGTAATGCATTCAACAACAAATGCATGAGAAATATCATAAACATAAAATGGAACTAACTCAAGTGGACTTGGCATGAACTGGTTGAGGGCCTATGCTATGCTGGGAGATCTTCTTCTTCTTCTTCTTCTTCTTCGCGTTCACCAGCTGTAAACTCTGGCGGAAGGTTCTGGTTGCTCGTCCACTACTGAACTGCAGTCCTGCTCCAGAAGCTGAGTGTTGCGTGTGCATCAGTTTTACAGATCTCATTCTCTTGAATACAGACTGTTCGTTCCTTGCCTCTCCGGCAGATGCACTCCGACTTCAAAGGAAGCTCCCCAATTAGTCAACTCTTACGACATGCTTTTGTGGAGGCAGTGGGTCTATTCTTGTTTTCCCCACAATGGGGCCCCGGAACCCACCCGGGGGAGGTGCTGGGAGATAAAGGACGGAAGATGAAGAACACTAATTAGTGTCAGTATCTGTCACTTATCTGCATTTCTTCTTACCTTGCCTTTATGAGTTTTCTGAAGCCACCGCCTCAGCTGCACAAGCTGGCTCTCTTCCACCATGGTCAGGTGACCCAAGAAGCGTGCAATATAATCATCATCAATTTTATCAATGCCAGTGTCAGCTTTGGGACTGCCAGCACATTCTATACAACAGAATTAGCACTCAAAGTCAGTAAAGGAATAGTACAGTCAAACATTCATTTTAAAATACCAGAAAAGATGGTAGCAAAGATATTAATGTTACAGCTGCAACATTTCTTGTGCCGCTTCTGGACTCTATTGTGTAGGGGTGTGTGTGAACAGACCCATTCTCTAAAAACATGTCATATGAGTCAACTTATCAAAGGTTTTCTTTGAAGTTGGAAAGATTCTGCCTCAGAGACAAGGAACCAACAATCTGCATACAAATCTGTAAACCAGATGATGTGCATGCAAAACTCAAAATATTATGGAACTAGACCAAAGTGAAGAAGTAAATGACAAACAGAACTTACTGCCTGAGTTTACAGCCTGTGAAGGCTTCCTGAGTAGCCAATAAAGAATTCCCATACAGAAGGTGCCAGCTACCACCTGATTAAATGTCCGCCTGTCCTTTGCCCTACATGATGATCTGTCCAGATCCACTACTCACTCCTAGCAGAATGGGTCTCTCAAGAAACTGATGCTCTGTCAATTTCTTTCTGATTATCAATGTTAGAAATCCCTGTGTGGGTACCGGGGCTCCATTCTGGAGAACAAAGAATAAATTTACTCCCTTCTCCCTTGTTGGAGAAGGGTAGGAAGCGACTAATTAGGGGTATTTCCTTCAAAGTCAGCTCACCGTGCATCTGCCTGAGAGGCAAGGAACCAACAGTGTACCCAAAACTCAAGCTCTGAATCAAGATCAAAGTCCTGGAGTGGATGAACAACCAGAACTGTCCACCAGAGTTTACAGCCGGTGAAACCTAAGAAAAAGGAAAACAACAATAACAACAAGAAGCATGTTAGAAAGGGGAATCTAGTATGAGACTGAAATCACTATACACTGGAATTGCTCCGACAACTGGCTAACCAACTTCCAACAGAACTACCTGCTGGGAAAGACCAAGTATCATTATAAACTGACTGTGACTAAAATTTTAAGTAAGCAACAAACACCATAACCACATGAAAGAGCACAAAAATCACCTGAAAGAACACATCACCCCCATGAAAGAACACAACAACCACACACAAAAAACCATGAAAGAACACAACAAGCTCATGAGTTATGAGTTAAAAACCAACATCATAGCATTCATAACATAACTAAAAGCGCTCCATCCCCATCTTCTGCAGTAATAGACTGGTTGCATGTCTGTCTCAACCCTTCCATAGGTGTTAAGCATCAGCTAGATTCCCTGCTCACTTCTTAATGCACTATTATTTTAAGACTGTGATAATCTGTTTGTAACTCCGCACTGTCTACTCGTTCCCAACGAGCCTTTGCAACATCTAGCTTGTCATGTACCAATTTACCAAAAAGTGCTGCATAACAAGCCAACCTATCTGCTTGTTTTTTTTTTTCCAGCACACTGGTATACCCTGGAGAAAATATCCAAAGGACACTAATTATCCAGGCCCTCAGGCCTAAAGAGAACATACCTGTCTCTACCTTTCTCAACATGCTCTGTAAGTCAGTTACAATCGCAATGTGTGTACAGCAGGTTCTCAAGTCAGTGGAAGGTTGCAATGACAGCCTCCACCTCCATTCTCAGACTAGATTGGTGTCATAAAACAAACACACACAAGAACACAGAAACCAATTCAAAGAACACAACCACCACACAGAAGCACACAACAACCATGTGGACCATGTGGACAACAACCACATGCAAGTACACAACAACCACATAGAAGCACACAACTACCACACACGAGCACACATCAACCACATACAAGCACACAACAACCACACGGAAGCACACAACAACCAAACGCAAAAATACAACAAGCCAATGGAAGCTCATAAACACATGGAAGTACGTAACAACCACATGTAAGAACACAACAAGCACATAGAAGAAACATTCAACACAAACATAAAATGACCATGGAATATTACCTTCTGGTGGTGTCAGGGACTTCCTGTGAATAGAGGCAGCAGTGGCTCCAAGAGTCATGCTGTGCTGGCTGTGCTGACTAGTCACACTATCAGATCTGCTCCTCAGCCCACTATCCTGACTGGGATTCTCCTCATCTGCAACCTCCTCTTCTGGCGGACCCACCCAGGGAGCAATGTGCGTCACACCCTCGCTCAAAAGCTCGCTTATGTAAAATTCAATCACCTCCTTGCCCTGTATATAATAAGTAGTTTTTAATTTAACATGTGCACAACAACAACAACAAAATTATAAAAGTTGAAAGCTCAGAGGACCGACATCATTGTGAGACCCTCTGAGCTAAGGGCTTAAGCTGCCAGGATACATAAAATATACCGGATGTAAGACCACAACTGCTAGGTCTAAAAGTCTAGAAGAAAAGGCAAAGATAATAAGTATAAACTTGGCAAATAGTAATCTAGTTTCTCTTAATGGTACCCCACTCCAAGATATGGAGTTATACATCTATTTGAGCAGTAATGTAGATAAAGATGGGGGTGGGTCGGACTGATAGAGCTATCAAAATATGAATACAAAAGGCAACAGGAGCTTCCAGAGCACTAAGAAATTTTTAGAGGTCAAAAGAAATTAAAACTAATACTAAACTTAAAATGTTTAATTCTAACGTAAAATCTGTACTGTTGTATGGAGCAGAAACATGGAGAACAACTAACTAAAATACTATTCATTAACTGGTGCAAGCGCAGAACAGAGGGAATTAAACTGTATGATAGAATCTCTAATGTTGCAAAGCTGCAGGAGATGCAGAAGCTGCTGCTCGAGAGTCCCAGCCATCTAGTTTAGCCCCAATCCGCGCCACACGCAGCGGTGTGGGAGATACTCTCGGCGGTGGCGGTAGTCGCCGGAAGACCACAAATTAAGTAGCCGGAAGTGCACAATTAACATGTGTCTGAGGCCCTGTTAGGGTGTTTTTGCGCCGCCATAATATGTGCCCGTTATTCGGAGGATAGCCACAATTTGTTATTCTTAAGTTATATTACCAACAATGATGTACAACAATTGTATTAAATAAATGATATGTCATAAAACGTATAACCCAGATTTAACACACTTTTACATACCTTTTTTACATTAGTGGCATACTGTTTCATGGCAATCTTTTCAACTGTACTTTCAAAACCAAAGAAATGTTTAATATCCAGACTTGCATCTTGCTCAAAGCAAGTCCATCCGGAGTTGTCTGGATGCACCTGTGAACAAATGGTAAGTTTTAACTATACCTTTACTTTCGAAATGAAAGACAGTTAGAACTTGCCGCTGATATGTTTAAGCATAAACAAATATTTGGTTTTATTCTATACATTAAAAACTTGTCTAACTTCTTTTAACGATTAGGTATAACTTAAATGTTGTGGTTATTACACATGGTAATTGATTCAGACAGTAAACACAACAAAAGGGACACTTTTCCATATTATTAGAGTTTACTGAGTATACGTTGCTGACTCCAAATTTGCAGACTAATCTGCTATCAATGAGCGATGTTGTCAATATCATATAGATGGCCATCAGTTCATCACCTGGTATTTATCTTAGGCTATCCCTGTGTGTGTTCCAGGTCTCCATTTTAGGGACGAAAATGAAGAGACCCACTGCATCCCTAACAAACATGTCATAAAGGTCTAATAATTAGAGGTGTTTTCTTTAAAGCGGAAGTGCATCTGCCTGAGAGGCAAAGAATGAAAATAAATGATATCTGTAAAATGGATCTGCACACAGAAATCAAGTTTTGAAACAACAAGACCAAAGTCCAGAAGTAGATAAACAACAAGACCAAAGTCCAGAAGTAGATAAACAACAAGACCAAAGTCCAGAAGTAGATAAACAACAAGACCAAAGTCCAGAAGTAGATAAACAACAAGACCAAAGTCCAGAAGTAGATAAACAACAAGACCAAAGTCCAGAAGTAGATAAACAACAAGATCAAAGTCCAGAAGTAGATAAACAACAAGATCAAAGTCCAGAAGTAGATAAACAACAAGATCAAAGTCCAGAAGTAGATAAACAACAAGACCAAAGTCCAGAAGTAGATAAACAACAAGACCAAAGTCCAGAAGTAGATAAACAACAAGACCAAAGTCCAGAAGTAGATAAACAACAAGACCAAAGTCCAGAAGTAGATAAACAACAAGATCAAAGTCCAGAAGTAGATAAACAACAAGATCAAAGTCCAGAAGTAGATAAACAACAAGATCAAAGTCCAGAAGTAGATAAACAACAAGACCAAAGTCCAGAAGTAGATAAACAACAACACCAAAGTCCAGAAGTAGATAAACAACAAGATCAAAGTCCAGAAGTAGATAAACAACAAGATCAAAGTCCAGAAGTAGATAAACAACAAGATCAAAGTCCAGAAGTAGATAAACAACAAGACCAAAGTCCAGAAGTAAACAACCAGAACTTTCTGCCGCAATTTACAGCCAATGTACACTAAGAAGAAGATCCTCAGCTGGGTCAACCTGGGGTGCTCAGGTTAATAAAAACATATCCACCTCAGTTGAGATCCAAGTTACACTCTCTTCTTCTTCTCTCTATTCTTCCTTCTGCAAGAAGGAGTTGTGTGGTGTCATCATTTTCAGATTCGTCTGTGATGCCTTTCTGGACTATCTGTCCTTCTCAGAATGAGCTTCCTCAGTTTGTCGCCAACCAAGACCTATCCATTGGACAATGGGAATTACAAACACTATTCTTAATTAATTTAGGAACATCATAAAATTACACTGGCAGATTAATTTTTAAAAGTATATTTTACCATTTTTTTTTAGATCTTGGCAAATCAGCCATGTGAACATGTGGATTGGCACCTGAGACAACAGATCACATTCTCCAAGAATGTCCCAAATACAGCATATCAAGGCAAAACTCTTAGCCAAGAGAAACATTGGTCAAGCCAAACTTTACAGGTCGCTAAGTGAATTACAACAGACAGTGAAGTTCACACTAGAGACAACACTGTAGATATAGATAATCTGTAAATTACAACAGACAGTGAAGTTCATACTAGAGACAACATTGCAGTTACAGATAATTTGTGAATTACAACAGTGAAGTTCATACTAGAGACAACATTGCAGATACAGATAATTTGTGAATTACAACTGTGAAGTTCATACTAGAGACAACATTGCAGATACAGATAATTTGTGAATTACAACTGTGAAGTTCATACTAGAGACAACATTGCAGATATAGATACTATATTTCAAGTGAATGAAAAAAGAAGAAGAAGAATTTTTAGAAAGATGTTACAAAACTGCTTACCCTACATAACTTACCGAGTAATGACAGTGTTCATGAATTGAAAGTCTAGAAGCAAAGCTCTCATTACGAGCAACAATGTCCAGTGTGCGTTTGCGGCGATTCAGGTGGTTCTTCTGGATAAATACCACATGATCCACTCCCACAATCTGATCAAGATACAAATAAGAACTATATTAGTATAGAAATCATGCTGAGACTGAATACAATTTAAATGTTACATAAAATGTTAAATAAATTCCTGCTGAATCTGAAGAAAATAAATATGAATAAAAATGTGAAATAAACCTGAGATAAAAAGTTAAATTTTTTTGATAAAATACAAAATGGGCTTGAGATAAAATGTTACACACAAAAATTTGAAATCAAATGTGAAATAAACTTCAGATAAAATTTTTTTAAAAACCTGACAATTAATTAAAATACAAATACAACCCTTTTTTCGAACAATGCTAAATCAAAGATATATACCTTTCTTAAAAGATAAGGGGCATCTACATTCAGTCTGCATCGTCGCTCCGTAATAATCTCTGCTCCATCCTTTGAGACATGCTCGCTAGTTATTTCACTACCTAAAAAGACTGGAATCAATTTACAGGTTGGGAAACGCTTCTCGTATGCCTGTAAAATAAATACAAAAGTAATTTAGATTACACACAATGTAAAGGAAAACAGGGGACCAACAACATAAATTACCAAATAGCGCCAATTTTGAGACATCAAAATATCTATTTGCACACAAAAATGAAGCTGATATATGTGCTATTCGTACCAACTTTGTGCTATCAATGCCAGACATGGACCCTCCTAGAAAAACATAAATGCACATTTACAACATGTGAGATGAAATGTATAAGAAATGTGGTAGGAAAAACAAGAACAGACGGAGTTGCTAATCAAGAAATAAAAACAATAGTAGGTAACGACCGGCGAATGATTTTAAAGAACATCAAAATAACAAATCGTCTGGTCATCTGGTCAGAATAAAACCAAATCAGACATCTTCTAGAGCATACTTAACGAGAACAGCAGACTGCAGGGCAAGAGGCCAACTAAGCAAGAGATGGGTAAAGGGAGTAAGAGAGACACTACAGAAATACAATATGACATTAACACAAGATAAGCAACTAGCTAAAGACAGGAAACGACATATCAACTCCCCTCTGTGACCCTATGTGGCCTATGCAGTAGGACAAAAGAAGAAGAAGAAGTAAAGATGGCAAAGTTTAAATTAATCATAAATACACATATGTATAATTTGACTTAGTAATAAACATACCAATTTGTGGTAAATTGATATATTACAAGCCAGATGGGGTCAAGGACCTTTAGAGATGATTGAATAATGCAGAAGCATGAATATATCATCATGGTCTGGAGACAATGTGCAGCAAGGAGTGATCAGCTGATCTGACCAACACTCAAAATGCAGAGGAAATGCAAGATGGACAAGTAATCAAACCACTACTGGTGCCATCAAATATGACTCTGCAATGGCTACTAAAGACAGGGACTAAGCACTTATGGGAAAGTCTAGAGCAGGGCCATTCAACTAAGTTTACTCAGGGGCCAAAATGTTGGAAATGGAGATCGCCACAGGGAATAGGCCCAACCAAGCCGCAGCATAGAAAGGTCATGAATACAATACAACTGGCAGTGATATGCCGGCCACTTGTTAGGCCTCCGGCATGCCGGCTGCCAGTTGAATAGCTCTTGTTTAGAGTGTTGAGATGTCTTTACCCAACTCAGTTCCCTGTGTGGGTTCCTGGGTCCCATTGTGGGGGGAAACAAGAATAGACCCACTGTTTCCCCCACAAGCATATTGTAAGAGGCGACTAATTAGGGGCTACCTTGAAAGCTGGTGTGCATCTGCCTGGGAGGCAAGGAACCAACAGCATACAAATAAAACAGATCTGTAAAATGGATGCACACTCAACTGCTTAGCATTGCAATCCATTCATGTGTGATGAAAGAGCCTAGATTTTTTTTAAGCATATTCATTGGGTCACTAAGTATGTACACATGTGTTAAGTACCAAGCCATGCTAATGTCCTTGTTACAGCCAGTTTTTTCCACCCTTAGCTTTTAAACAATATTGTTAAGATAGTGATGATGTGGCTTTAAAATAGTTAGTATAGTAGATAAGTGGTCAACAGCAACTTTAAATAAGCAGTTTTGTTAACGGGAGAAGCACATCAAAATATTGTGATCTAACCTATTAGTTACAGTGATTAGTATAATTAACTTCTATATTCTTATCTTATTGCAGCAGTAATGAGTAATGTTATATAATATAGTTTTGCATTTTTCTTTCTTCTTTCCCATTTAAAACAAGTTTTTTTTTTTTCTTTTATTTTTAAAAAAAAACATCAACTACATATAAGCTACGTATATGTTCCCTTTTCACTGCCATTATTAAAACAATAGTAACAATTTTTTACTTTGTTTGCAAACTAAACATGAACACAAAATCAGCTGCTGTTCACGTGATGTTAAGAATTGGTAGGGTTTAGAAGACAGTTTACTTACAGCCATGACAAGTTCAAATGGGTGTTTGTACACCCTAACGGGCGACTGATATGTCTGAACCATTGTAGAATTCTAGGCTGCCTAAAGACTGGGGAGAAAATCGCGTATACTAAAATCCATGATATGAAAATGGAAGAAAAAAATTAAAAAGTGTATGTTAGCAACAAGTCAGATTACGGGATCCAACACTCCATTTTTTTTTTTTTTTAGCAAGATTGAACACCTACATAACAGGAACAATATCCGCACAACAAAAGAGAACTGAAGTTTCAAAAACTGATAATTCGCTGAATAATGTCGCTATATTATAATATAAGATGATGTTTTAGATACTTAACCAGTGTAATAATGTATTAAAGTGTGAAGTAGTACTAAATATTTATTTCTAACTGCTGTGGGAATTTTAATGCTCTACTTTTTTTAAAAGCCCTTTATTTGTATTCTTTCGCAAAAATTGATGACTGCAGAAGTCTCAAAACCCGCCCATTTTCACCATCATCATGTGAAATGTCGATCCATGGTTATTTGGCTGTTGGTCCACGGGCCGAATTTAGCCCACAGATGCCTTGCAAGTGACCCACCTATCATGACAGCTTGTTTTAATGATCTGTTTAGGCCAGGGCTGAAAGAGGCCCTGGTATCTACTACACTGATATGTTTGAACGACGGACAATTAGCCACTCCACTGGGCAACTCGACATAGGGTGACCATATGTCCGTTTTCACTGGGACAGTCCCGTTTGTTAAGTGTGCACCTGCCGTCCTGCCAGTACACACACAACTACACTTGTCCGCTTTTTATTTAAAAAAAAAAATACGAATAAGCTCAGGAATACTACATACACATATATTTATATCTGTATCTCCTTTTAAATTTTATATTTTTAGATCAGTTGAGGAGTATTTTGTTTCTTTGATTTCTTGACGAAAATGGTTCCTGTATTAATAGTACCATTGTCGATCGAGTAACTAATCCTTTAACCCCAGTGAGCTATTTGAAAGGAGCGGTGGTGGTCAGTTAACTTGTCTTGCTTGGAATGTCTAGATTTCAGATCCTAAATATTTGTGGAATTTCCCGTTTTCAGCTAAAGACATTGTGGTCACAATTACTCAGCAATGTCATCGACATGACTCTAGGGTCGCCCACCATCACCCCTTTCTGTAGATGGACAGGGTCGGATTAGGACTTGATTAAACCCTAAGATAAATAAAGTACTGAGACCCTATCGTTCTAAATTACACCAGTTAATCTCATAAAACTGTTAAAAATATTCGAATTGTTAATATATCGAAAATGGAAATATACTGCAGATTTTTTTTTAAAGAATAATAAAGAATTATTTGCAAAATCACATGAATTATATTTTATATAATCCTCTAATAGGCTCTAAGCTACAACTTATACCATTTTGTTTTCTTGGCTTCCCGAATGCAAAATAATTGATTTTGTAATCAAAAGAACCGCAACCTAGATGCGAAGGATTGTTCTACTTTTTTTTTCTCCTTTGGCTGGTACCTGAAGGATTGATCTCCAGGGATATTCTTCTTTTGTCGTCTCACTAATACCAGATTGTAGCCCAGAGTCGTGGTTTTCTGTATTTGTCTTGCGCTTCTCTGATGACTTGGTTGGTGAATCTGTTTACAGGTTTCGGCTACATTATTTATTCATCTCTTTCTTGGTCTTTCCCTTGCTTTTCTACCAGGTGTTCTGATGTAAACAATCTCATATGCAGTTTGGTCTGGCGTCTTTCTCACTAGATAGTCTAACCATCTAATTCTTTGCTGGTCAATATAATTTAGAATAGTCTTATTCAAAGTTTATCTTTAATGCTGGTATTCGCAACCCTTTTCCTTCTTGTGTTATTAGAAGCCAGAGTACATCTGGTAATCTGGTAATCTGGTAATCCTAGTTTCAGCATCATAGCAAACGGGTCACCCCATTGTTGCTCCGCTCCTGTGCCAACGAAAAACACTCGTAGCTCACAGTGTCACACCATGCACTCAACTCAGAAGACTGGGTCGGAAACTATATCCTTCCAGTCTACAAATGGAGCAAAAATGCAACGGCCACCGCCTGGCAGAACTGCCACGGCTTTAAAAAAAAAAAAAAAAAAAAAAAAAAGTGGTTGCCTAGTGTCCACTGTGACTTGAAGCATTATGTGAGGGGTTAACAAATGGTCACCCCAGCAGTACCCTCACTATTAGCTGGGAAAGGGACTTAGGACATTACATCCACCAGCAGGCGTCGCCCCTACAACGACCTGACTGCCTTCGTTAATTGACTTTTTCAGAACCCAACAGCAGCAGTTCTTTGGCACGAAGGAGACACCTTGAACTTGGGTTTCAGAAGGTGTTAAAATGTTGTTTTTGTGTTTTGTTATCACAATCGTCACTGCACATGGGGCATACCCATGCGTGCGCAGTCCTCCGAAGCAGGCCACTTCAAAGTACTTTTCTCTAATTGTCCCCTGAGAAGCTGGTTATAGCCTCGCAGACGGCAAAGACGTCTTCACCATTAACTTGTCACGCTCAGGGATTCGATATTATCCATTAGCCCAGTACGTACAGCGTTAACGATATCTGCTCTGTCCCTTTTCTAGCTTTTTCCCGCAATCATTAGTGCTGTGCTTGCCAGTTTGGTCCGCTCGCTCTTTTCCCTTTACGCCCTAATGATCCCGGTCTTTAGATCCAGGTTACGGAAGTTAAGTGCGATTTCGAATGCTTTCTATCCATTCAGAGCGCATACTGCCTTTTCCTTCTTGTGTTATTAATGACCTTAGGTAGACAGCGCATTTCACATGTAATTTGTTTGTTTTTGTTCTAGTGCCCTCTTCATTGTCCATGTTTGGTACTGATAGCATAAACAAGAGATGAAAATGATCTTAATCATTTGCTGTTTTGCTGGATATGGGACATTTGGGTGTCTAAGCAGTTGACCTAACTGGTAAGTAACAGCATTTGCCTTCTGTACTCTGGCTTCTATCTCTATGTCTCTATAACTGAACGAAAAGTAGATTAGCGAGCTTCAACAAATAACAAACACAACCGAAAAGTGAACATTGCGGCTACAGAGCCGTCCTCAGCACGTACAATCAAATAAAACAACACGAATACGCAAAATCACTTAACTGAAGAATCCCGAAGCAGCCACGATGATGTCTTGCCAGTGGAATGAAGAAAGAGAGTTGGGCCCAAGAATCTGTAGCCCGGGAATGACAGGGACCATAAATGGAGAAATTTAGATAAAACTGTGTTGACAGTTCAATACCCTGTGTGTCAGGGCCTCCAAGGTGAAAACAAACCGATTCTCAAGAGACGTGCGGACTCTGTCGCTGGAGTGGCTAGATTTCATGGCTGTCACCACCATGTCGTGGACACCTCGCTGATCCTGAGAATTGAAGTACAACGGTACTAGTTTCAGGTAACCGTTTTGCACATCCAAGAGATGTCTGAACCTATCAGCCAGTGGTAGACCCCTTTCTTCTTCTTCTTCTTCTGCCTTTCTATCCCCCAATGGAGCATTGCACTCAACCATCTCACGCCAAGTCGTTCGATCCTTCGCCATTGCATGGAGCTCTCCCCATGTCCTCCCAATCTTTCTAACCTCATTCTCCAGCTCTCTTCTCCGTGTGTTTCTGGCCTTCCTTTATTCATATGCCCCTGTGGGTTCCAATGCAAAGACATTCTAGTTATGCTGTTCTTTGTTTTCTCAGTGTGTGCCCTATCCAACGCCAGCGTCTTTTCCTCACCTCTTGGTCCACTGGAGCTTGTTTAGTTATCTCCCAGAGTTCTATATTAGTTATTCTATCATATCATTTTATTCCCTCTATTCTGCGCAGGCACCACTTAATGAATGTCTGTAATTTGTTAGTAATTGCCTTGGTTGTTCTCCATGTTTCCGCCCCATACAATAGTACTGATTTGACATAAGAATTAAAAATTTTTTAGTTTAGTATTTCTTTTAATTTCTTTTGACCTCCACAAATCCCATAGTGCTATGAAAGCCCCTCTTGTCTTTTGTGTTCTTATTTTAATATCTCTATCAGTTCCTCCATCTTTATCTACATTACTGCCTAAATAGGTGTACGACTCCACGTCTTGGAGTGGGGTGCCATTAAGAGAAACCACATTACTATTTGCCTGATTTATTCTCATTATCTTTGTCTTTCCTCTATAGGTTTTCAGACCAAGCTGCTGTGATCTCGCATCAAGTATATTTAATTTATCTTGCATCTGATTCCGTGAATGGGACAGAAGAGCAGTATCATCAGCGAAGTCCAGATCATCAAGTTGTTTTGTAGGGGTTAACTGAATTCCATTCTTGGTGTTAGCAGTTACTGTTTTCATAGTCCAGTCTAAAGCCAGTTAATAATAAGAGAGGCGACAAAAGACATCCCTGTCGCACACCTGTTTTTTTTTCAAATGCATCTGTTAGCTTTCCCTCATGAAGAACTCGAAATTTCATATCTTTATATGTTGCCTTTACTAAGTTGATAATTTTCTGTGGGATTCCATAGTGCCCCATCAATTTCCAGAGAGATTCCCTATCAATGCTGTCAAATGCTTTTTCATAGTCTATCAATCCAATGTAAAGTGGTGAGTTCAGTTCAATGCTTTGCTCTATTATAATACGTAATGTGGCTATCTGGTCAGTACAGAATCTGTTTGACCGAAAACCTGCCTGTTCATCTCTTAGCATTTTATCAATAGCATCTTTTAATCTTTCCAAAATAATTCTACTTAATATTTTTCCAGGAACTGACAGCAACATAATTCCTCTATAGTTTTCACACTCCTGTAGATCACCTTTTTTGGGCAGTTTCACAAGATATCCTTCTCTCCAGTCTGTTGCCTTTTTTTTCGGTCTCCCAGACTTTACTGAATAATCTTTGTAGCAATTCTGTTTCGCATAACGAGTGGCGAGGAAAGGGGAAGTTCCGGATTTTGCACAATCAATGTTTAGCACTCTTTCTGGTAGCATTGTCGCTTGTGATCACACATTTCTCAAACTTGTGTTATATTGTGATATATGTACATGAATCCTCCAGGCCTACAAGATGACC